GGCCAGTCTCCGGGGCTTGACATTGATCTCCTTGCAAAAGATCCCATGCCGCCGCCGCTTCGCGAAGGCTCAGCTTCTTGGCTGGGACATCTGCGCGCGAAGTCGGGCTCGCGAGCACCATGACGGGTAACGCCGCGGGTTGTGCGCTCTGCGGATTGTCGGCGGTGTCCCTTTTTTTTTTGCGGAAGTTCATTTTTCCATTCGGGTAGTTTTTTTCCGTTTGTTCCCGGCGGTGCATGGTAGCAGGCAAGCAAGCAAGCAAGACCATAAGCAGAGCAGGCAAGCCGCAGGCAAGCAAGTAAGCAAGCAAGCAAGGAAAGAAAATCAAGCCAGCCGGAAGCAAGCAAGCCAGCGCGCAAGCAAGCAGGCAAGCAAGCAAGCAAGCAGGCAAGCAAGCAAGCAAGAGAAGAAAACGAGCAGAGACAGCAAGCGAGCAATCAAGCAAGCAAGACAAGAAAACAAGCAGAAACAGCAACGAAACAGTTAAGTTGGAGAAGGAGTACACAAAGCGAGCAAGCAAGCGATCAAGCATGTATTCACACAAGCAAACATACAGGAAAGGATGCAAGCAAACAAACATTACCATAAATGTTACTGCCTGTTTCTAAACTACTACTACTACTACTACTACTACTACTCCTGCTGCTGGTACTACTACTACTACTACTACTACTACTACTACTACTACTACTACTACTACTACTACTACTACTATTACTACTATGACGGTTACGATAACCACGACTTTCCCAACTCCAGTACTGTTGCTATGAACGTTGCCTTTCTGGTATTGTTTCTGCTGCTATGATTTCTAGCATTAGTATTGCCAGTATTGTGACTCGAACTGTTAGCATTGCTTTTATCATTACTATTACTCGTGCTGCCAGTAGTGTTGCTATTGCCATTGCGATTACTGGTTACTAGTACTCTACTATTTTTTCGTACCGGTGCTAGTACTGGCACCATTGCTTTTGCTACTACTCTTACTCTGACCCGCGCTCTTACCAGTACTCTTACTCATGCTGTTACCCTTACCCTTACCCTTAGTGTGAGATCACCACCACCACCACCACCACTACCACCACCACCACCACCACCACTACTACTACTACTATTATTATTATTATTGTTATTGTTATTGTTATTATTGTTATTATTATTAGTATTATTATTATTATTATTATTATTATTATTTTATTACTACTACTGCTACTATGACTAATCACTTTTATTATTGCCGACAGCATCGCGAAGGGTTCTTCCGCGCGGAGCCGGTTAGAGAAGTACATAGATGACATGCATCGAGTGAAGTACATAGAGTCGAGTACATAGATGACCTACCAGGACTCTAACTCTTTATGCGCTGTATGCTTTGACTTTATGCACTTGACTCTATGCATTTGATCCTATGCACTTCACGCTATGACTTTGACACTATGACTCCATGACACTTTGACACTTGACTCTATGACACTATGTCTCTGTGATTCTATGACTCTATGCTTCTGACTCTATCCGACTTATCTACATCTCGGTATATGATCTCTCTTCTAAAGCCAGGGTGGCACCGTCGTCATCGATCGGGAATGCAACCCTTCACAGGGATTGGCCTGGTCGAGCGCTCAAACGCTAGACAAATTTCAAAGTTACACATTTTAAGCGCGCGCCGCAACTCTTCACAGGGATTGGCCTGGTCGAGCGGCGCGCGCCGCAACCATTCACAGGGATTGGCTTGGTCGAGCGCCCAACCGTCACAGGGATTGGCCTGGTCGAGCGCCCAAATGCTAGGTAAAGTTACGCATTTTGCGGTCGACGCGCAACCCTTTGCATTGGCGTGGTCGAGTGTTGAAACGTGTGGGAAAGTTTATACTCTTAACCTTCCCGTGCAACCCTTCACAGGGATTGGCGTGGTCGAGCGCCCAAACGTGTGGGAAAGTTACCACTTTTGATGCGCTTCGAGGCGCCAGTTGCAACCCTTCACAGGGATTGGCGTGGTCGAGTGGACGAACTTGCAACCCTTCACAGGGATTGGCGTGATCGAGTGCGCGAACGCGCGGTAAAGTTGCTACTTTGCAGTGGTTCTAAGTGCATCGAGGTGCACTTTGCAACCCTTCACAGGGATTGGCACTTTGCAACCCTTCACGGGGATTGGCATGGTTGAATGTACGAACGCTAGGTAAAGTTACTACTTCTCATCTGCATTGAAACGAATTTTGCTGGTCGAACGCACGAACGCGAGGTAAAACTATTTCTTTTGATGTGCATTGAAGTGAAATTTGCAACCATTCACACAGGGATTGGTGTGGTCGAGTGTTCGAACGCGAGGTAAAGTTAACATTTTTGCTGCGCATGGAGGTGTAGCAGTAATACGAGTAATAGTAGTATTAGTAGTAATAGTAATAATATTAGTAGTAATAATAGTAATAGTAGTAGTAGTAGTAGTAGTAATAGTAATAGTAGTAGTAGTAGTCGTCGTCGTAATACTAGTAATAATAGTAGTATTAGTAGTAATAATAGTACGTGTAGTAGTAATAGTAGTAATAATTGTAGTAATAGTCGTCATAGTAGTAATAGTAGTACTAGTAGTAATAGTAGTAATTGTCGTAATACGCGTAATACTGGTAATAGTAGTAATAGTAGTAATAGTAGTTAGTAGCACTGCACCCAGAAACTTTGAAACCCAGAAGCATTAAACCCAGAAGCCTTAAACCGCAGCGCTGAGCCAAGAACCCCTGGAACCAAAAAAACCTATACCCAGAAGCCCTGCACCCAGAAACTTTGAAACCCAGAAGCACTAAACCCAGAACCCTTTGAAACCAGAAGCCTTAAACCGCAGCGCTAAACCCAGAACCCCTGGAACCAAAAACCCCTAAACCCAGAAGCCCTGAACCCAGAAACTTTGAAACCCACAAGCACTAAACCCAGAACCTTTTGAAACCACCAGAACCCCTGGAACCAAAACCCCCTAAACCCAGAAGCCCTGAACTTAGAAACTTTGAAACCCAGAAGCACTAAACCCAGAACCCTTTGAAACCAGAAGCCTTAAACCGCAGTGCTAAACCCAAAACCCCTGGAACCAAAAAACCCTAAACCCAGAAGCCCTGAACCCCAAAAAATGAAACCCAGAAGCACTAAACCCAGAACCCTTTGAAACCAGAAGCCCTAAACCGCAGTGCTAAACCCAGAACCCGTGGAACCAAAACCCCTAGTCCCGACACAAGCTGACGGGATGTCAAATACATCGATCTCGGCACTATTATGTACTTCATAATTAGATGCACTTCACTCTATGACTCTATGTATGGTTCTATGCACAACGTAGCGCAAAACTCTTCGCTAATGATGCTTTCGGGCCAAGTGTCTTCGGTATTGTTACAATTACTAAGACTACTATATCATTATTACTACTATTAATCTGCTGTTGCTCATAGTAGTAGTATGTTATCAGTAATCGTAATAGTAATAGTAACAGTAATATTATTACTACTAATGTTGTTGGTAGTGTTGCGACTAGTACCCTATTCTTAGTAGTAGGGGAACACGAAAGGGAACAAATGTAAAAAAACTACCGAACCAAATGGAAAAACTTTCGATTTAATTTGGCGACCATTGTTGGCCCATTCCGCCATGCACGGCAGGTAGGTGGCGCTGGACCGTGTTTTGGGTGTCCTGACACCTTGGTGCCAGTTCTTGACGAACGCAGCGTGGTCACCGGTGCAAGGCCCCTTGCAAACTTCCGACGCGCATGCCGGGTTTGAGGTCCCGCAGTGGTGGGACTAGCCCCTGCAACAACCGCTGCCGAGGCTGACCCCGATGTTCCGCTCTCTCGCCCTCGACGGCTGCTGCTGCTGCTGTGCATCGCCGCACTGTTGGTCCTGCCGAGCTCGCACTCCCTGACTCAAGCTTCCAGGTTTTGCTCCTTCGTCGCGTGCGGCCGGCTTCCTTTGCCTTCTGACCACGTCGCGGCCTGCCGTCGGTCTGGTGTTCTTCGTGCGTTGGGTGGCGGTACGCTCGAAAGGGCAGCGGCTCGGGTTTGCCGTGAGGGAATGCTGCAGGTGAAGAGCCTGCCGGCCCTGCCCCGTTTCCAACCAGCTGGTGCAGAACCAGGAGCAAGGGCTTCGCGGCCTCGCTATAGCGTCCTGGCACGAGCGTCTCCGTAGGGCCAGGCAGGCACTGACGGTTTCGATGCTGGGCTGCCGGAAAAACAGATCATCGGTGCCGACTTGTTGTCCTTGGCCGCCTCGAGGTTGGGGGTCGCTGGAGTGCAAGAGCAGCTGCGTTATGCCGCGTTCATCCGATTGCTCGCAAGGGCGCGTTCGCGAAGCGCGGCCCCTTCGCAACGGGCAGCATGTGTTGCAGCCTTTGTCGCGCGGTGGTGTGGGTTTCATTCCGTCGCAGCCGTGCGTGCCTTCGCGGCCAGCGTGCTGTCCCTTCCCATCTCCAACACTGACAAACGTCTGAGGTGCCGCCACTCGCCCCTGCTTGTGGTCTAGGTGGGGTGGAGTGTGGTTCAAGGTCGGGTTGCGCGCGGTAGTCCGCTGGACTGGGACCGCGCTCGGATGTTTGCAAGAATGTCCGAGAAAAAAAATAACATCCTCACGAGGCGGTTGGTCCGGTTTCCTAAAACTGATCCCTTGTTCGGCGGTGGCGAGTCGATCCCGCGCGGCATTTTTAAGCCGACCCCTCGCTAAGATGATTACGTAGGCCGCTTGCTTCCTTCACGTGTTATTCCTAAGTACGCGACGGCGGCGCACCCGTCTTCATTTTTGTTTGGACCACCACCCTCCTTCAAGGGGTTGCGCGTGGCCGACATTCCGGTTATGGCGATGCCATTTGAATCTGCAATAAGAAAACACTGCCGTTCTGCTCGTGCCAACACAAAGGTTGACCGCTTCAGACGTCGTCCGCATGGCCCGTGGCAGTTCGACATCGTCCGCATTGCGAACTAGTAATCTCAGTTACCGCACCTGACAAACCGCAAGCAAGTTTCAAGTGCTGAGGTCAGCTGCGTTGGAATCGGTCTGTCGCTCTCGCTTTTTGCGCTAGCAGGCGTTCTTCACTCAATGCTGACCGTTTCTGTTGTTGCGATCGTGTGCATGACAGCTATGGGAAGGTGTGGCTACATATGCTTCCAACACCATCTTGTTCGATTGCGTGTTGAAGACCGGGCATGGTTCTGCCCTGAGTTGGTTTTCGATGTTTGTCCGCCAACTTTTCCTTGATTCTTCATGTCGCTGCTAGGTTCTTATGGTCAGCTCATGTTGGACATCCTTGGGAAGTATCGTCCTGATTGTTGCCAGCTTTTGCACGAGGTCTTGCATGTGAAGCGGTCCAGCACTAGTTGCATATCCAGGTCTGGGGCGATGGTCCTCGATATGTTCGTGTTTATCGAGGCAAGCACGGGCTGCGGAGTTTGACAAGCACCCAAATTTTGCCTTATGCGTTGCTCTGTTCTTGGCAGGGGCTTGGCGCTGTGGCCACATACATAGTTTTCATCATGGACTACGTCCCGCAGGCGGTTACTCATGTTGCAGTGCAATCCTGTAGCATCATAGCAACACAGATGCAGTGAGTTTGATGCTCGTTGGTAGGTGTGTGCCTTGTGGGGGGACGACCATTGGTGCACAGACAAACTCAATGTAGCATCGCCCTCGGATTTTCGGCGTGGCTCCCATTCCGAGTCAGTGTTCGCAGCAAGTCGTGAATGCACAAGAAATGTGTGCAGTCTGTTCAGGGGATGTACAGCCGACGGTTTGATAGATCCTGTAGGTGTGTTTCAGTATTTGCCACATGTCATAGGAGTTCGAGGGAGAATGAACTAGCTAGCTCTCGACAGCACCGGCGCATCAGGAATACACTTGCTCGTGAAGCCCAAGCCCCAGACTTGTTTTTACCGAGGCTTGGGCGACCACTGTGGTGGTGTGGCCTTTGAGCTGTCTCCGCGGTTTGTCTGCCCTGAGGCAATTTACGAGCCACTTAGGTTCAGGGACGGTCCCGGTTTTTGTAAATGTTCGCGGTTGATGACTTCTTGCCGGAGGTATACATCCACGTGCAGCATCGCCACCATCTTGTTGACTTCAATTGTTGTTATCATCAAGGCTTGGTGCGCGTGCGTGTCGAGCATGCTTTGGGGTTTCGGATATGCCAGGCTCCAGTTCACTTCCACGCGAAGGACGCCTCGTTTCAGCATGTGCTTGAAGAAGCGCTTGGCCTCAGCAACAGTGTAAAATGCTGTGCGAGGGTGCTGCATCGGCTTTTTGAATTCGAGATGTCGCAAGGTCAAGTGGAACATGAGCGGCTTCCAGGTTCTGCATTTGTGGAGCGTGCGTGCACTGTGTTGTTATAGCGTTCACTAGCAAGCAGCCGGCACCCTGCTCACAGGTGCTCTCCATGGCATGCTTCGCCTTCATGACGCACCATGACGAAGAGCCCGGGAGACCCCTAATGCTTCGAAGGTGTCCAACACTGATGCAAGTTTTGCATGTCCACACGGCCTAACATGGAAGCCGGGCATGGGCTCCAGTCTGTGCTTAGGCACACCAACTCGCCGGAGATCGCACTGCGCTTCGTCGGCGGGCCGCGACTTGCTCGCAAGGCGGGCAGTTGCTGCAGATGCGCTGTAGCACGAAGATCTGTTTTGGATGATGCTTGCCATCGTTTGAATGAGATTTCTGCAAGACAGTGTCCCAGACTGCATCAGCACAAATCCGGCTGCTGCAGGTGCTCACGATTCAAACATGCCTTCTTTGGGCTGTGTACTGTGCCATCGCTGTCTGTGGCTATTTGTCTTTCCTGGACGATATCAAGCAGGACAGACACGAGAGTCAGCACCAGACATAAACCTCTCGTGTTCGGAGGTAATGATGGGGGGGGTGGGCGGTGCAACCGTGTGCCAGCGAGTTTACCCTCAAGGATTTCCTCACAAATTATGAAGTTCGAGATCGGCTCATCGACACCCCGCCACGTTTATGGAGAGAGCTTGAAGATATCCGCGAATGCAGACATGCACTGCTTTGATGGCATCCCGTTTGCCCAGCCTCATCTATGGCCATCCTCATTGGGCAGGTGTTGTGCCGATGCTTGTTGTCTTCCACGCTGGTGTGCTGACCTCGGCCGTATTCCGCTGGGTATCACTAGCACATGTATGTTCTTTCAGCTAACTTGGGTACCCTTCGCAGTCTCTCCACTCATGTTCCTGTAGAAGGGTTCGGAGATTCAAGGCGATGCTCATGATACAAGTAATGGTGAGGCCTTGATCGGATGGGCGAGTTCAGCCGTAGCTTGACAAGCCAGAAGCCTGAAGTCAGCTGGTCCCCATACAGTTCACACCTTTGCTGTGTTCGCCGGGCTTCAGGTCAGGCATTTTCTAGTGTTCTCGGAGTATTCTGATTCTGATGTTCTCAGTTTATGTGAAAGTCAAGTTCCCGTGTAGCCTAGTAGAGGCAATACAAGTTTCGTGTCAGGTAGCAGAATTCCCGGTCGATGTTGGCACATCCTCAGCCAAAGTGGATGACTTCGTCAGGTTCGCTTGCCCCATCAACATGTTCCCTGCGATGCAGGCAATCCGGCGGGTTCTAAGAAGAAGTGCTGTCTCAGGAGGGCTACACGAGGGTGGTGTTACGTGGTCTCTCGTCAGTCTGTAGGCTGGAAACATCCTGAACCCTGAAACCTGCATCCTGGACATTCCTGGACATGTTTGGGCAACAAAAAGAACAGGCTCTCTTCAACATCTTGGAGGGCCTGCGTGGGCCGCAAGCTGAGTGCATCGTGAAATACGAAAGGCAAGTTAAGGTTGTTTTCAGTACACAGCTTACAGGGCCTTTAGCATGGCACCTTCATCACCCTAACCTCCGTCAGCTCCTTTTGTATAAAGCTTGCAATGCTGAGAATGATGTTGATAATGCTACTTGCAGCAGATATGGTCGCGGCTGGAAGAATACTGGATTTAGGACCGTACCAGAGCTGAACCTCCATGTTGCACAAACATTCAGGCGATTGCGCCAGTCCTGATGCAAAAGGGACCATACCAACGAAGCAGATCATTGGCAATGGTAAGAAGTGGCTGTATCTGTGAAGAGGGAGAGACAAACAACCATATCTTTGTATGCATATACACATGTCTACATTTATGTATGAACGGTGCATACAGTGGCGAGAGTTTTCCGAGCTAAGGAAGGCGCCTCACGAGGACTTGCTCTGCGGGTTCGGGAGAGGATTCTGCTGAGAGAGTGAGAGCAAGCTCGCGGCGAGAGACTGCTGCCGGCTGCAAGCCTGAGGGGGCAAAATGAGGGTACACTCCACTTTCTGTTTTTGTTGTGTTGTTGTTCTCTCTTCCCCTATCCCTGTTCCTTAACCTTCGGGGGCCAGAGAGCGTCATTAGGGTCCAGGAGCCGGTTTCATTCACCTATCCAAGCACAAGGAAGTGTGCCTGGCTACTTCGGTTCTTGCTCGTTTGGTTGTCCAATACAAACAACAGACTGGTCCAGCACCTGCTTGCAGACCCTGCGTGCTCTGCATCTCTCAATGGAGGGGTGAGAGACAGACCAACCATGCAGAACAGCAAGAACTAACTTCTCACGGTCAGTGTCCGGGGCAGCTTGGCAGCTTGGAGGAAACTCCTCTTAAGCAGGAAACAACAGAAATTGGAAGTTGGACGCAGAAGGTAACAGTCTTCCTGCGGACAACAGTCTGCGTTGCCAAATGCAGGAAACTTTTCTTGGTTGTCCGCAGGAAACAGTCTGTTGCGAAAATGCCTCACATCTCGGTGTTCACGAACAACTGTGTGTTTGTGCCTATAGGCTGGCAGCCAGTTTTTTTTGGAAGCAGGTTTGCTGTGCAGGTTCTTAAAGAGCAGCAATGTCGATGGCGGCAAAGTTGCACAGAGATTGAAATTCTGTGCTGGAGAAAGAGCACGAAGCGTCAAGCTTCGACCCTCGGTGCATGGACCTTTTTGCAGACAGGCTACGACATGATTCTAACGGCGCCACCCATCGATGTTGTCAAACATCGGCAGGAGCGTCTGTACGACATGCACCACGTGCGGATTCCCGTCACCACGGCAGCCTTTGCGCTGGTGCTTGGGGGAAGGGCCTGTCGCTGCAGTTGGACATGCCTGCACTTCTAGAGGTTTATTATCCGTGCGCATGCAACTTGTTCTTGCAGTTCCAAGGCGTTCTGTGCTACTAAAGGTGCCAAGCCGTGAATGGGCCGTGAGCCACATGGGCCCATGAGCATTGAAATACATGGACGTCGCGCAATCGCACGAGTTCCGAACTCGAAATGCCGCTCCAAATCACATGAAACCGTGAAGCCGTCGCGCTGCGACGGCTTGATTGAGCCGTGAGAGCGGGGTCGCATAGTAAAACAAACTAAGCCCCTGCAAGATCCTTTTAGCAGCAGATAGGGTCCCGGACTCCTTCCTCCAACAATCTCGGGCAGACCTTGGGCGTTGCCTTGAAGTCACCGCATGTCGCCGACCTCATCGGGTCACCTCCTGAGTTTCTGGCTTTCGATTCCCTGAGCCCTATGCATGCATGCGTGCACGTGTGTAACATGAGTAAGCAAGTATGCTTTGCATGTGTATATGTATGTGAGCAGTGGCAAGCATTCTGTTTTGTGTGCCCGAGAAATCAAGGACGCTGAGTGCCTACTTCTCGTCGCCCCTGATGTTTGCCTTTCCCGCCATAATGTCGCGGCCCTAACAGGGCATCCGCGCACTCACTTCTCCGAAGGGAGCTTTGGCCTTCGCAGCTAAATGGCAAACCCCAGGCCGTTGATCCTAGATCCAAATCAGTAACCCGAATGCAAAAAGCAAAGTCCCAAACCCAAAGCCTTAAACCGTAAACAGTCTCGTCTGCAGTTCCGAGTTGCGACAGTCCGAAGCCGAAGCCCAAAGTCCATCGCTACACACAGAACCCGATACCCACAGCCAAGAATCTCATGTCTTCTGATATGCGCTCGAAGGTGGTGCGTGCGAAGGTTTCACTCTCCATGTTTAGCTAGAAGTGAACATTGCACTGCCATGATTGTGCTGCCAAAAAGCAATTGCAGTTCCACGTAGACTTGATAATGTGTAGTTTCAGTGTATATTAGGATTTCGACGCAATGTAGGAGTAACCACGTTCTAAGCACAAACATTGCGGCTCGAAGTCGTGTCATGGGACAGTCCAACCGAGGCCCTGGCCCACAGGTACCTGCGAATAGTCACAACGAGCCAAAATGGGAGTTTCCGAAACTTAGGGTTACCCCATTTTGGGGTCCTTATAATCACGATCCCATTTAGGGTGCTATATTAGGGTCCCATATGTTCGGAAACTCCCAAATACACCAACGAAGAGCATGCGAGTGTAATTTGTATGGCCCCTGCGCAAGGATGACACGCACAAATCGAGAAGTGTACCAAGTGTCAAACCCTGAATCATGAAGCCTGCATGTGGGACCTCGTGAAGCAATACAGGAGGCACAGCTCTGTCAACCTTTAATACCATAAAAGCACGGAGCCCTGAGCTGTAAAGACCCTCAGCCCTGAAGCCCTGATAAGCCCTAACCCCTGAACCCAGTTTCTGCGAAGCGACGAGGCACTGGAAGATTCTTGGACGCCAAGACATGGGCGCGGATCTGATCATCTTCTTGCCGGGGTGTGGGATGGTGTGGGGCTAGCTTTGAGGGTTTGGACTCAGGGTTTGGGGTGTGTGGGTTTAAGGCCGTTTAGGATTTAGGGTGCTTGCATGTGCAGACGAAGCGGCGAGTCAGGTTGGACTAGATGTTTAGATGCTGCTGTGGCGGGATGTAACACATGTACACGGTGTGCAGGGCTTCATGGGGACAGCACTGCGCTTGAGCGTCCAATTAGCAGTTCAGAAATTCAACATGGCATCAAGAAACAGGCCTTAGGAGCCCATATGCTGAAAGCATGAAGACACAGTTCGAAAGCAGACCCAAGCTAAAGTGTAGCGATGGACCCTCGGTATGTCTGCAGCATTCAAAACAACCGTCCACACATGTACTTTGGACATGCGACATTCTTCGAAAAGCAACGCGGGACACAAAGAAAGTGGGCAATAATCGAGCCTCTCACAAGTTGAGGGCGCCAGTCACCTAAGCCGTGCACTTCCATCCCCAAACCCCTCGCAGGCTATAACTAAATCCTAAACCCAGAGCCGCAAGCTCTACACCCCAGATCACAGTAACCTTAAGCCCTGCTCCCATCCCTTCATAGTACCCTTAAGCCCGACTCCCAACCCTTCATAGTAACCTCAAGCCTTACTCCCCAGATCCCTCCATAGTAAAAACCCATCCGGTCATATCCTCAAAGCCTCATCCCTGAAGCCCTCAACTCCAAAAGCCCTAAGCCTTTGCACGCCATGGCGTCCGAAGTGGACTCTGAGGAGTTGTTGGCCAGGCCTTACTTGGGGGTTTAGGATGGGTTTAGGATTTAGGGCTTCGGGTTTAAGGGTTTAGGGGTTTAGGGTTTGGGGCTTAGGGTTTGGGGTTAAGGGTTTAGGGTATAGCCTGGAAGGGCCAGCACCTTGGGCTTGTGGTGTGTGGTCCGTTTTATCTTTGGTCATGTTATGGGTGAGAACAAGCTTGAGAGGGACTTTTCGCGCCCCTTCTCCCATTTCGGAAGCAAGCCCTTGTGGGGCTCCGATGGTCCAGGGTTTGGGAAGTGCGTTTGCCCCCGTGATGGGGTCAAGTAGCAGCGAGATGGTGCTTCTTGCCGGACAAGGGATTCTTGAGAAGGCACTTTTCCCAGTCAGGTGGGTGCGAGCTTTGCCGAAGGTGGAGCTGCACATCCATCTGGATCCTTGGCACAACGGTCTTCAGGGACGTTCCTTGAGGATGCAGCCAGAGAAATGATCTTGCCAACAAGGCTAGCTGCTAGCTGATGTGGGATTGTTTTTAACCCCGCGCCTTTAGGTTTAGTCTTGGCGAGTCCTTGTTGGGTGCTATGTTTTTCCATGGTAAAACGATAAGAAAATAAATCGATAACACAACGATAGCGCAACTTTCATGGAAAAACGATAAGAAGAAAAAACAGTTAACGACGTTCAGGGATAAAGATATTTATGCGGTGTTACGATGCACCCCCACATGCAAAAGCCTGTTAGATGGCTGGCAACATACAGCCCTGTGCCTCATGGATTGGACGAACAGAACTGAGCTTCATGAAAACTTTTAAGAAAGCGTGCTACTTCACCTCCCACCCCACACATGTCTTCACCCCACTACTGGACACCCTCCTAAGAGGACGGCTCTTTTGACCCACCGCTGCTTTGGGAGGCGCAGGGCCGCGGTATTCGTGTGAGTCGGTTGACGGTTTGCGGGAGTGTGGGTTTTGGCCAAGGACGCGCTGCATGGGCTTGCTCTGGCTCTGGCTACACATAGTGTGGGCATGTGTGGACCATGCCATGCAATTTCAGTAATAGCTTCCTACCCATGCTTTCGTTCTCATGTGTGGAGAGGCGGCTCAGCGAAATCGAGAAGCCTTGCCTGAGGAGGTTCCACTAGGATGGGAACTGGACCAGTCACCTGCTGTCTGTGCCTGTGCTGCTTACAGTCTGTGGGATCGCTCCAACTTGGAGTTCTCGGTTGGAGCCCCTCGGTGAGTTGTTCGCAAGCTGTGCTGACGAGTGCTTTGTGACTTTGTGGGGGCTTTTGTTGGGCCTCCCCTGCGAGGTGCAAAGTGCAGTTACAGGCAAACCGATGCCTGTTCGATCAGAAATCGACAACTGCACCTTGGCTGCAGCTTGCAGCTAAATCAAGAGTGGGCTGTCGCACAGTCAGCCACATGATACCTTCATCATCTCATGCTGCATATGCAGCGGCCGTTGCAAGACTAGCACGTACCGAATACAGTACTTGCCCGAGCAAAACTTAGCTTTGACTGTAGTATTGTCAACCCAGATCACACGAACCACGCAATACGGCGCTACTGTCAGCGGTAAGTCGGCTGTCCGCAGACTTTATCCTTGAAGCCCGGATGCCAGCTCAGAGCTTACGTCCTGGAACGGGATGTTCAGAACAAGCCGAGTTAGACGTCCCGCGAGCCGTGACCCCGTTTCCCAAAACCCTTTCGATCCAAAGCACGTGTATCCACCAAGCCCAAAAGCATCCCAAAGCAGCCACTGCCCAAGGCAAAAACCTCGAGGATTTTCGGCGGCTCATCGTCTGCAAAGGAAAAGGATCCCTGCAGGCGCGGCGGTGCAAATGCGTAGGGTTCGCGGCAAATGCAGTGATACATCTGCACGCATAGAGACAAGCCACTCGTACATCTGCTTGCCGATTCGTCTACTCAAGTACCTGTTCGATGACAAATTTCCGGCTTCCAGGCTTTTGTCACTTACTCACATACTTCCACACCTCCGGACAGCCGCCTACTGCGACCACTCCCAAAACCACGACCACGACAGCAACGACGACCACCACCACACCGCCATGACCAACGCCACCAACGCCACTGCCACTGACGCCAACAGCGCCACCACCACCACCACCACCGCCACCACGACTCCCACGACTCCTCTACTCGTACCGTGTGTCAGCAAGCCATAGGACGAAGGCTAACTACTTTGCCACTTCTGCAAGGCCTCTGCCCCTACTTCCAACATATGTGGTTTTAGTTATCGCTGTGAAAGCAACGACAAACCGGCAACAATCACAGTTGCACTCGGCGGCAACATTTGAAGAGGCCAGACACCGAATCCAGGATTTGAGAAGCAGTACCGAGTCAAACAATGAAGAACACCAGTAAGGATGCCAAAGCCACTGGCATTGGCCATCCGACCAACCCTCACACCTGACAGCAAATCCAGAACCGGACTTCTCACCCCCTCAAGCTCCCAAACTCTAAGCTGCAATACAGAACGGTAAGCTCGATACCGGACACCCTAAACCCTCTGCAGATCAGGGTCCTCCCCGGATTCAGCACACTTATATAAAAACCCCGAACCGCCAAACCCCGAAGCCTGATGGGCCACCAGCGTTTGCAGGGGTAGTAACGCTGTCCCAAACTCCTCCCATTCTGGGAAGACCCGAAGCAGTCGGAAAAGGGAGCTCAACAAAACATGCTGCCAAACAAAAGCCCAAACGCATCTCCCGCCGGAGCAGGCCATGCTGGACTGTTTCAGCCGATTTCTGCCAGCCGTCCGTGGAGACCTGAAGACCTTGGAGGCCGGCTATATTACCCGTTTTGCCCTTTCTTATGTTGGGATCTCCATATTCAGCAGTAGGAAAAAAGGATACCCCGATTGGCAAGGGGCTACTGGGGAACCTAGTTACGATTTTGGATTGGGGTTTAGGATCTGGGGTGTAGGCCTTTCCAGGGCGGTCGATGATGGTTTCTGGGGCAGTATCAAGGAGCTCGGCCCGGCTTGCATCAGATTGCATCATAGCCACAACAGCTGAAAAGGGAGCCGGCAGAGTGTGTTTTTTTTTCTGCGAAGGGTGAATCAGAATGTACCACCCCTGCGCGTTGTGCAGCTGAGCGTCTGAGCCCTGTGCTGGGCAACTGAAGGAGTATGCGTGTGGCGTCACTCCGCCCGATACGAAAAGGCCACCGGAAATCGTGAAAACCATAACTACGATGCTACAACCGAATGCCTGTCGCCTGTGTTCGGCATACACTTGAAAGGCAGTCTTGAATGTTTCCTAAGATGACTCGTAAACTTAGAGGAAGCCTGCCGCAAGGAAGTCATCCCCAGAGTAAACTCCCGCTCTGTGGATTAAAGCAGACCGAAACTACAGGGGTCTTGATGATGGTCAGTTACAGTAGGAGCTATGATAGTATTCCTTAGGGTTCTCAGCAAAGTATGTCTATAGCCGAGTACACCTTAAGCTTCCATTCTAACCATTACCTGGCCCCTACATAAGCTCTTTGGTGCCCGGCTTCAAGGAGATTGGAGCGCGCTTCGTCGCAGCACAGGCCGCGCAAGGCATCGTTTATACGGAGGCCACCAGCAGATAGCGGTAGTTTTTGCCGTACCTGTAGTGACTGTATGTATGCAGTGGTTCCTTCCTGATACAGCTTTGAGTTGCTTTCAACCGATATTCTTTTGCTACTGTTCAGGCAATTGAGTGTGGATTGCTCTGCCTTGCATACCGTCTTTTATTGATTCGCCAATGGGGTCGGATTTAGAAAACACTCGTTCGGTGCGGTGTGGCCGATCTCCGTCTCCGAAGACTACCCGCCTGCAACCCGCCTTCGCATGCCGAAACAATGCTACTCTTCCGCATGTTCGCTTACGTCCATCAGGTACTCCAGTACAGCCATGGGATGCCATGGTTTTCGCTGGCACTGCCGCGACTTTGATTCAGGGTTACTGGAACGGTTCTTGGCGTTTTCCTGCTGTCGTACTGCATTTCTTGTACTGGCTTCGTTGTGGTTTTTGTGTTATTCACTGTTTGGTGCCTCTGGTGGTGTATGGTGGTGTCGTCATTCCTTTTTAATGTTTTACGGTGCGTTTGCTACTGTAGGCCAAACGTTTTTGCTGGCAGTGTGCACGTGCTTCGGCAGGTGACGTGCTGCGGAGTTGCGTAACTGTTTCAGCCAGCACGAACCGCTCCGAAACACTGCAAACTTTTCATCCCTACAGACCCCCAAGTTGGCGTGCA